TCTAGCTCAAACCTCTATTGGTTTGATATCACAAGTCCCAGGTGATTATATGCATTTGTCATGCCTGGGCATTATGTGCAAATTTGTGTATTTGTTAATTAAAGGTCCTTTGAAAACACGTCTTGGTCTACGTGCAGTATTAAATTTATCAGAAAAGTTGCTTCATTTGAAAAAATATAGAATCAGAATTGTTGCTTCATTTGAAAAAATATAGAATCAGAAAAATCAGAATTTGCTCGAAAGCCAAGAGCATTTTCTGATTTTGAACGCTGGAAAGCTACAGAATTTCGACAACTTCTGTTGTATACTGGAATGGTTTGCTTTCAAGATACATTACCTAATGCTTTGTACAACAATTTTATGCTTTTTTGTGTCGGATAACTATTCTTTTTAGTCATTCATTTTGTCACAAATATGTTGATTATGCACATAGTTTGCTTGTACTTTATGTGGAACACTCTTCAAGTTTATTTGGACCTGAAGTTGTAACTTATAACAGCATGGACTAGTGCATTTAGCACAAGATGCCAAACAATATGGTCCACTAGACAATATTTCAGCTTTCCCTTTTGAAAATTATTTATCAAATCTTAAGAAACTTGTAAGAAAACCACACTTACCTTTGCAACAAGTTTTAAGAAGGCTATCAGAACAACATCTTGCAGAGTCAATCAATAGTGATACTAAGTGCACACTTTTTCAGTTAAAAAAGAGCATTTTGATGGACTTTTGTGCAACAGTGAAAATATAAATGTGCAGACTCAACATAACGAGCTCTATACAAACAAATTTTGTATTAAAGTTTCACAAGGTGACAATTGTTTTAAAATAAAAACTAACTCTATAGTTCTAGTTAAAAATATTATTAAAAGTTGTTGTGGTCAAATTATCTAGTGTGCAGCAATTTTGATAGTGTTGAGAATTTTTTCACCTACCCATGCAATTCAGATACCATTGATATTTTTATGGTATCTTATTTAGCTAAGCATCTTTCATATGTTTTATTATCAGAAATAAAACAAAAATTTGTTTTACTGCCTTACAAAGCTTACTTTGTTACTATATTATTCATATCTTTTTAAAAATTGTTATTTTGTTTAGTTATTAGTTACTACTAATTATATATATATATATATATATATATATATATATATATATATATATATATATATATATATATATATATATATATATATATATATATATATATATATATATATATATATATATATATATATGGAAGTACCATATTAACAGAATATTAAATTAAAAAAAGTTCACATATAAAATATAAAAGTATTTTAATTGTTGTTTGATTTATTAAAAGACTTTTATTCATTTTTTTTATAAAGAGGTATTTGAAGATTTAAAATTCTTTCAACTCAATTTTTTTTTGTTACAAAAATGGTAAAATTATTTATTAAGTACCCAGGGCGCGACAAATCGACGAACGAGCGAACGTTTGTTAAAAAAAAGACAGAAAAACGAACGTCGTGTTTCCTTACTTTTACTCTAGCAAACGTTGGCGTTCGCTTAAATTTTTTAAAAACAAACGCATATCTTCAGCAATTTTTTATTTCCAAATAATTATGCGATTGATAGTTTTTTATTTCTTATATAAAAAAACATAATTAATATAAAAAAAATAAGTTACTAAAATTTAAAACGCAGTTTCAATGACATTAAAGGAAACCGCGCTAATACTTTCTTCAATAGCGTTTCTTTTAAGTACTCGGTGTAGTTAAGGCAATTTACAAAATATTCGAATACTTTTATTTGGAATTAACATGATTTTGTCAGCATATTATGTCCAAACAAGATCTTTAAATGCTATAATTTTTTTTGCTCAAGGTTTTTATAATATTTAAAGAAACTTTTTGTTGTTTTTTTATATAATTTTCCTTTTTACTACCCGTAATAGTGTATCTAAAGAGCACTAATTTGGAGTCTTTTGATCAATTCCGCTCATCGGCATTAATATGAATTTAGTTAAAATCTTTTTAAAAAGTTTCTTAATTTACTACTGATCTTGTTCTAATTGTCAAAACACAATATTTCTATCAATTTTCACAAAAAATACTGGAATTCCGACCAAGAAAGAGTTTATAATTATGGAAAATTGCCATTAAACGATCAGAACAGATCATATTGTTAAACTATAATGTTCATTTCACCTAAAAAACTTGTTAATATAAAATCTTATTTAAATTTGAAGGAGCGATTGTGATTTTAAAATTAAGCGATTTTGATTTTAACTTTTTTTTAAAAAAAAAAAAAAAAGAATCATCAGTCTGGATTTTTTCGCTACAAACATTTATATTTTATGATACCGCAAAATTTATCATTTTAAGTTTTTTCATCTTTTCGTAATTCACAGACCAGACCATTCAACGGAAAAATGTCGCAGTCAACAAAGTATCATACAGACGCTCTATTATTTTAAAAGTGCCTTAAACTACACCGAGTATGCAACTGTAGAAAAATTATATTTAGCATGGTTTTTACACGCGTTTACAAATTTGCAATAACTTTAAACGGAACCATGCTAAAACATTCTTTTTCCAAAGGCGTGCTTTTTTAAAATTTTCTTATCATTAAATTAATGTTTATTTGCTGTTTTAAAAGTTTTAAAAAAATTTGCAGAGTTATAAAAAATGTAATAGATTTTATAGAACTATTATGTTGATTATAGTTTTCATTTTTTACTGTGCGTTTAACAACAACCAATAATATAATATTTTTTTATTAAATACTTAATATTATAAATATAATAATAGCATATCAGGTATTTGATAGTAACTTATTAAATTATAAATTTAATAACTTATTAAATGCTTAATACTATATAATTATTTTTAAATATTTAAAAAATAAAAATGTCAAAATAACTTTTATTTTATTTTTATATAGTTCCCTTTTATTTAAATTTTATCAAGTTTATATCTTTTTTTTATAATTTAACAAACTAAATTGAGAAAAATTAACTATTTTGTATTAATAAATAACAGTTTACAGTGAAAAGTTTATTGCATATTAGTTATCATTAATTTGCGCACAGTTTGCAAATGCGTGAAAAATTGTTTTAAATTAATAAAAATTGATAAAATTCGATAAGTATCTTTGATATATCTAATTATTATATATCTTATTAACTAGAATAAAATTAATTTGAAAATAAAACTCCCTTATAATTAAATAAAAAAATTATTTAAATTAAAAAAAAAAAAATTAAAGAAGTTAAAATGAAACTTGCTTATTCTGGCCGACACACAGGTTCGTAGTGGAGGTGCGCAACCATCTATTAATGAAAAAAGTCCTCTATTCTTGAATTTCTCTTAAATAAAAAAAATATTTTAAAAAAATTAAAAAAAAGTGTATGTGTGGAGGGAGGGGGGGTGGTGGTGGATATTTGACATACCTCTTAAATTAGATGTTCGTCAATAAATAAAAAACGAACGTTAATGTTTATTAAAAAAAAAAACAATTTTTCGCGCCCTAGTACCACTCATTTGTTTTATTGCAGCACTTTAAAATTAACTTGCAGCACTTTAAAATTAACTATTTAAAATTTAAAATTTAAAATTAAGCAATTTAAAATTAACATTTAAGTACCTCTCATTTGTTTTATTGCAGCACTTTAAAATTAACTTGAGCAATTTATCTGAAAAATAGTTATAAAATTTTTATTTTATTACTTTTGTTATTGCCATAGACAGTCAATGTGTCTGACTTCCTTATTTTTAACTTGTATAAAAAAAATTTTGTTTTTATTATCTATCTATATTTAAAGCCATCTAAAAAAGGCGCTTTTTAAGGTTTGTTAATTTATTGCTTACTTTTTATGTTTTACTCTTATTTATTTTTTTTTTAATTTGTAATTTACTACTATTACTACTACTACTACTACTACTACTACTACTACTACTACTACTACTACTACTACTACTACTACTACTACTACTACTACTACTACTACTACTACTACTACTACTACTACTACTACTACTACTACTACTACTACTACTACTACTACTACTACTACTACTACTACTACTACTACTACTACTACTACTACTACTAATACTACTACTACTACTACTACTACTACTACTACTACTACTACTACTACTGGCACTACTGCTACTACTGCTACTACTACTGCTACTACTACTACTACTACTACTACTGCTACTGCTGCTACTACTACTACTACTACTACTACTGCTACTGCTACTGCTACTACTACTACTGCTACTACTACTGCTACTACTACTACTACTACTACTACTATTACTATTACTATTACTATTACTACTACTATTACTACTACTACTACTACTATTACTACTACTACTACTATTACTATTACTACTGCTATTACTACTACTACTACTATTACTACTACTACTACTATTACTACTACTACTACTACTATTACTACTACTACTATTACTACTACTACTACTACTATTACTACTACTACTACTACTACTACTTTATACATATATATGTACATATACATATATATATATATATATATATATATATATATATATATATATATATATATATATATATATATATATATATATACATATATATATATATATATATATATATATATATATATATATATATATATATATATATATATATATATATATATATATATATACAAAATTATATAAATTTACACGATTACACAATTCCTGTTAAAGAATATAATTATAATATCAATATTGTTGTAAAGTAATATAATGATTGTGTAATTTAAATAGTGTAACAATCTTAGTCTTATTTTTTGAGATAAGTCTATTTTTCTAAACTTTCATTTCAGTAATTTTAATTTTTCTTCAAAATAAATTTTTAATCTTTGAAATTATATTTTAATAATGGAATCATTTGAAAATCTTTTGAAAATTTTATACATCAGAAAAATAAAATAAAAGTAGTATTTCTTATACTGAGCTTTATTTTTTTTTTTTCATTTATTGATGTTATGTTTTTTATGTAATTAGGAATAAACTTTAGAATGGATCTCCATCAGTTTCTTATTGTTGCTTTTAAAAATGAAGAAGATGCTGTTGCAATTTTGCCAGAAACATTTAATTAGTAATGAACTTTGCTTTTGGCCACCATATACCTCACAAGGCAGTGTAAATAAGGCTATCAAAGAATGTGAAACTCCTAATGAAAATTGGCCAAAACATGCCATTTAAGTTTTTAAAAAAATAGGTCAGTCACATATGTACATAATGTGCTTAAGATATAACCTGCATTAATGTAATTTATTGTTTAAAAGAAATAGTGATAATTGTATACTGTAGTTGTAACATTAATGGTGTTGTTATAAGAGTGTAACTTAAATGTTGCATTTTAGGTTCCTACAACAAGGCACAATGTCAACTTGAAAAAGCTACCATAACATCTGATCTGCAGAGTGATTCAGAATCAAGTACTAGGCTACGTCCAAAGCGGTACTTAATAGAAGAAAATTTATATTTCTTTGTAAATACAATTTTATGGTTTTAAAGTCCTTAGTATTTTTATTTTATTTTATGTGAAGAGCATTTTTATATCCTGATGAGCACAGCGTTTTTTGTAGAAGAATCTATTCCAATTTCTAAAAAAGTTAAATTGTTGACACCAGCTCCGGTTACGCCAAAAATATTTTCCTCTGGAACATCCATGCAACTTACGCCATCAAAATCTGTAAACGCACAAATGCTAACTCCACTACTTTTATTCACGCCTCCTGTAATAAAATCTAAAATAAATCTTATAGATGAGGAGCAGAGATCACAAGAAATGTTGCAATCGGCTGTGACAAACAAAATAGTTTCAATGTTAGTGGAACTCAAAGAGGATGTGGCAAATCTGAGAAAAGAGATTGCATACAACACAGCCATGCTTCAGAATATTGCTAATGGTAGAGTTCATAATGATGACCAAAACATTTTTGATATTCTTAAACTTCCTTTATGCAATATGGCTCAGTTATTGCAACTTGAAAAAACACTTGAAAATGAAAAAATAACAATGAAAAAGCTTGTAAGTTGCTCACTCGTTTAACTGATCTTAATTTTTACACTTTATTTTTTTATTATTTATTTTGTTATTTAAAAGAAAATATAAAGTTTCTAATGGTTTACTGAAGTTCACCACAATGTGTTTAGCATTAAAATTTTGCGGCTCAAGAAAATTTTAATGCTAAACACATTTAATCTTTATTTCTCTTTTCTAAAACTAAATTAGCAGTAGGAAAGCAAAAGTTGAAAATTAAAATCTAAATTTTTAATTAAATTAGATGTATGTTGTCAAGTTAATATATTTTTTGTGGTAATTGTCAAAAGGTTCATTTCGAAGACATTTTATTATATTTGTTTTATTGTTTATTTTATTGCTTATTGTATCTAGATACGAGCAGTTGCTTCTAAAGGTGGGCAAAACTTAAAAAAGGCAGTGAAGAGAATGTTGTTGTCATTATTACATAATGATATTCTCAAAAAACTAAATTGGACAGGTCAGGGTGATAAAGTCAAACAGTCTTTCCGTGATTTGAATTGCAGAATAGTTATCGAAGGTAGATCTTTTTTTTTTAACTTAGAATTTAAAATTTAAAAAAGTTTTAATTCATTTAAATCTTTTGTTAACACTATCAAGGTGGAAAAAAGTTCTTATATAAAATCTCTACTAAAATGTTGGTAAGGATGATAGGGGAGAAGATAATAAACATTTGAAGGTAATCTTTATTGCGATGGTGTCACAATACCATATCCGGTTCTGTTAAATAGGCTAACATTTGTAAGGGAATCTAGTAGAAAAACATTTTCTGAAAAGCGGGACAATATAAAAAGAATTGTATATTTATTGTTCTTTTCCTTTTATGTAAGTAAATGTCAATTATATATCAAAATGTTTTAAAATAGGTTTGACTAAACTTTAAACTATTTAACTTAATAATTTTAGTTGACTCTCCAAATAAATATACGAGAATATGACATCGTTTGATTTTATATGTATGTTATCTTTTGCGTTTTAATTTTACAGGCGCATTGAAGCGAAATCCCTCGACTTCACAAGCCACAGAAAGCGATATTCAAAAGGCGATTGTACATTTTTTGGCGGGAGCAATCGATAGAAATGGTGGAAGGAAGGCGAGAGCCACAAGACTACTGGCTCTAAAAGCTACTGCAACCGAGAAAGTATCTTGTTTTTTGAGGGTGAAAAATAAAATTTTTTCTACTTTACCATCGACTTCCAATTCAGAGGAATCAAATTAAAATTTGTTATTGTAATATGTTAGATTGTAAATATGTTAGATTGTAAATATGCTTATATTACTCATTGAATATTATATTATATAATAATACCCTTGCTTAGTCAACTATGTCGTAATGCAAGCGATGAAATGTAGTTAATGCATTATGAATAAAAAATTTGAAATTTATTTTACAAAAATACAAGTTTTATCTGATGCTAAAAGTAAAGTATAATTTTATCCCAGTGAGAATGTCAACTATTATAATAATTAAAAGCATTATTGTGATTTCTGTTCGTGACTATTGTCACGAAAAGAAATTTCAATACGGAACTTCAATAACTGTAGTAAAGGTTAGCCATTTTTCTGCCAGTTCTTTTCCTGTAGTGGCTAGCCACGGCTGGTCCATGAAAAATCCTTAGAGCAAAACGGAGCTTCACCAGCCTTGGCAGCCGAAGCCGGTCCAGCGCGCCAGCCTATACAGGACCAGTGCGGGACCACTATACCCTTGCTGTCTGGGAAGTTGCTCCAAGAAGACCTAAACTAACCAAATGCACTCACAGACAGTGAGGTAAAGGATAGGGTATGCATCCCCCGCCCCTCTTACCACAACCTGAAAGTCCTAAAAATCCAAAAATTGAGAAACTTTTTTTTTAGGAGAAAATTTTTCAACATCCCATATCCTCCCCCCCCTGCTCTCATCTTTTCTTTTCTCTCTCCCGCATATTAATATGACCAGGACCTTTCATTAACAAAACTTTATCCTGGTTTTGTTAAATATTTTGCGATCTGATCCTTTTTTAATTGTTGGAATAAAATATAAAATGACTTTTACATAAGTAATAGTTAGACATTATGATTAGGGTGTATTGCTATTTTTTGCTTTTTTTTTTCCAGATTTAAAATCATGCTATTTTTTTTTCCAGATTTAAAATCCTGTATTCTAAAAACTTTTATTTATATATAATTTTACTAAAAAAAGCTTAGATTTAAAAATCCGAAATGGTTTAGCTACCAGGAATCGATATTTGGTATTCATCTAAATTCGCGGAAAACTTCAATAATAGCAAATTTTTGCATGTGGTTGTATATTTTAGTCGGCTTAAATTTTTTTTTGTCGGCTTAAATTTACTGAAATTATTATTTTATTATTAAATTTTTTTTTTTTTTTTATGTTGATTCAGGTGCCCCAAGAAGTCCTTACGGTCTTATCACGGAAGAGCATTTAATAGGAAGTTCACGCCTCCTTCCCAACCGATGTCGCAAAACTTGTCCAGAGGTGGGGTGTGAACCATGGATCTTACGTTCCTGAGGCAAGTGCGCTACCATTGCGCCACGGCTGTTTATTAAGATTTTATAATAGTTTTCGTTTTTTTGACCTCCCCCCTCCCCCTCGTAACAAAACCGTAACACTTAAGAAGCAAGTTTTGTATGAGTCGTCACAAAACTACCAACCCCTTCCCCTCCCCCTTATAGCGTGACGTAATTTATGGACAACCCATAAATGGATAAAAGGTTATCCAGGTGTTCTTTTGAACTGTTCATTATTTATTGTCTATTATTACTTACTACTGTTACGACTACTTTTATCTGGGTTATTGATGTTTGATCACCGGTATCACCGCAATTTAAATATTGAGAGTATTAATTGTTTAGAATATACTTACCATATTAAAAGATTATAAACAACAAAATATAAAAAACAAAACAGCAAAGCAAGATCAAATTTATAAAAACAAGTCCTAATTTTTTTTTAATGTTAAAAAACATAAAAAAACGTTTTTTTCATTATTTACTTTCGTTTATTTTTAATTCAACGTAATTTTATTTCCCACTCATTCTTTTTCTTTTGGTAATTTTTTGTTAAAATTTTAATTTTTGTATCCTTCGTATTTCTTATTTTTATAAACGAAATTATTAAAAACTTTTTTTCGTTTCGGTACCTTTTTTTAACCCAGACTCGGTTTAAAAAAGTACCTTTTACATCAAACACTGGAGTACCAAAAAGGTTTTTTGTTAAAAAAAACGTTATTTTTTATATTTTAAATTCACTTAATTTTTATTTTAAATCAAAACTCTTCTCAAATTTTTATAAAACTCTGGTTCGTTTGAGAATACTTTTCGAGAAAATTTTATTAATATATGGAGTTTAGCGTGTAACCAAGGGACATTCTGGGTGGCTTTTTTTGAAAAGTAAATAAAAGCAATAACTTTTTAGTTACTTTAAAAGTTTATTTATTTTTTATAGGGTCAGATGAGGGTAAAAAAAAAGTGCTAAAAAGTTATAACCTATAAACCATTTATTGAAACTGCCAAGTTTTTAGAAATTCATAGTAGAAAAGATTGTCGTAATGTAAGAGTGGGTATAAACAACTTGAGTGTCATCAGCAAAAAAGTTGAAATTAATTATAGTAAATCATAAGTAAATCTTGTTCATATAAATTATAAACAATACTGGGCCTAAACTAAATCTTTAGCTCAGTGTGAAGCAAGTTGTTCATAGGAGATGAAACCAGACAGATTAGAAGTTTATAATATAGATAAGAAAATTCCAAAACATTATAGCTAAAAAAAACCTTTTTAAAAAACATTGCTATTTAATGACAAAAAAGTTTGTTGCAAAAAAATACTGAGTCAGCTTAATCAAAAAAACTGATACCTGATACCCCAAGAACCATAAGGACTTAAAGGTTCTAACTTTTAGATTTTCCTAGTTTTTATAAACTATGTTTATGAAAACTAGAAAAATCAAAAATATATTTAAAAATTATTAAAATCCAAAACATGGGGTTAGGGTTAGGGTTAGGGGGTATTCATTTTCTCTCCTAATTTGACATAGAATCAGTGGCGTATGAAAGTTTTTAAATGTTTGAAATAATCAACTTTTAAACAAAAAAAATATTCCAAATTTTTTTAGGTTCATATGTAAGATTCTTCACAAAAAAAATTACAAACAGCTTTGAATATTCTAGATATATTATTTATGAAGTTATTTAAAACCCTCCTGAAACATAACTGTCATTACATTCATTTGTTTTTTTATCACCTAGATGACCATTTTTTTAAGGCTCTAAAAATATTTTTTTTTCTTATTTTTCTTTTTCTGATGACTTGCACCTGATTCGACCTTATCCTTTTTTTATTTTTAGAAGTCGCTGAAATGTTCGAAACCACACCATGTAAACCAAAATGTCTCAAAACACCCATTGCACCATCATTATATGCCAAAACGGTACACGGTACACACAGAGTTTGGTACACGAGCCCAAAAAAATCTATTAAAACCTCTTTTGCATTTTTTGTGTTCCCATGTAAGCATTTTGATAACAATTCATTTAACTACAAATTCCTTTTAATTTGTAGAATTAAATCTTTAATCCATAGAGGTATGGTAGATTTGAGACTGTAATTATTTTGATTTATAGCCCAGTACTTACACCAACTATATTATATATATATATATATATATATATATATATATATATATATATATATATATATATATATATATATACATCCAATTTATATAATATATCTAAAGAAAATTACACCCATTTACTTACAAACGCTATCACCTCAACATACAAAAAATCGAATACAAAAATAAAAAACCAAATAAATAAAGAAGGTAAACAGATATTACAGAATCACGACGTTTTTAATAAAATTAATATTAACACACCTTCAAATTGCTTTATAAAACTAAAAGACCATAAAGAAAACTTTACAAACAATCCAACTGTCCGTTTATTAAACCCCGCCAAAAACGAAATCGGCAGAATTAGCAAAGTTATACTTTCTAATATAAACTCTGAACTTGTCAATAAACTTCACCTCAATCAATGGAAAAAAACACAAGATACCACAAACTGGTTTAATTGCATCAGAAATAAACACCTTTGTAAATTCCTTGTTTTTGACATTGTTGATTTTTACCCATCAATAACAGAAAAATTACTCAACAATGCTATCCATTTCGCTGAACAACATCTAAATATTGAACCTAACCATAAATCATTGATCTATCACGCAAGGAAGTCATTACTATATAATGATGATCAAGTTTGGATTAAAAAATCAGGCGGTTTATTCGATGTTTCAATGGGAGCATTTGACGGAGCTGAAGTTTGTGAACTCGTGGGAATTTATCTATTGTCTCAAGTTGCACAGGTTTATAATAAAAATGATTTCGGACTATACCGCGATGACGGCTTAGCAGTTTTTAAAAACATGAGTGGCCCCCAAATGGAAAAAATTAAAAAACATCTTGTTGAAATATTTAAAAAAAACGAACTCAATATATCAATACAATGCAACATGAAAATTGTAAATTACCTCGACGTCACATTAAATCTAAATGACCATACTTTCCAACCATATTCTAAGCCCGGAAATTCTTTAAATTATATTCACACTGATTCAAACCACCCGCCAAATATTTTAAAACAGCTTCCGCATTCAATTGAGTTAAGATTGTCTGCAAATTCCTCAAGTGAAGAAATTTTCCAAAGATCTACCCCTGCATACAATGACGCACTGTTAAAGTCCGGCTTTAATCATAAACTTTCATACCACCCTAATTTAAATTCACCTTATACAAAAAACCGTAAACGCAATATCATTTGGTTTAACCCACCTTTCAGCAAAAATGTAAGCACTAACATAGGAAAAAGCTTCTTAACTTTAGTCAACAAACACTTTCCAATAAACCACAAGTTCCACAAAATCTTCAACAGAAACACCATAAAAGTAAGTTATAGCTGTATGCCGAACATGAAATCTATCCTAAATGCACACAATCGACAAATTATGAACAACAAAAAAGATCTACCTAAAAACCAATTGCAACTGCCTTAATAAAAGCACCTGCCCTCTATCAAACCAATGCTTAACAAAAAACATTGTATACCAAGCTAAAATAAGTTCAACTAATCCTACTACCAATCCTGTCATCAAACTATACATCGGTATAAGCGAAACACCATTCAAAATTAGATATGCCAACCATGTAAAATCTTTTACCATTCAAAAATACAAAAATGACACTGAACTATCAAAAGAATTTTGGAAACTGAAAGATGCAAATTTAAATCCAGTTATTAAATGGAAAA